CAATATTACCATTTGCGCGCCAGCATGCTCGCATATGCGCATATCAATCTATTGTCGATGCTGTTGAGGTTTGACAAAGAGGATATCCCGCGCGTGGCTACGGATTCCCTCTACGTGAAGCCCGAAGTGTTAGAAAAAATGCAAGAGTTTTACACAGCCGATGAACTCGCGGAAAGTGGTCAATGGCGTGTGAAAGATGAAGAGATAAAAGCCTGGAGAGAACGTGTGGAATACCACGGGAAACACGTAAAAGGTGCCATAATCCCCACTGAGGAACCATTGCCATCCGTTGTGGATCCCATTTCTTACCAACGCTTCTCGTACCTGTACGGGCCCGGAGGCAGCGGTAAGACCACCAGGGTTTTGGAGTTATTCCCCCGCGTGAAGGTGTTAACGCCGACACACCGCCTTGAAAGAGAATTGACGGAGATGGGCCACGACGCGCAAACGTACCACAGCTTCTTTCGCTGGAATGGTCAAAAGTGGGTGCCGGAAGCAATACGCGACATACCGTCGGTCATATTATGGGATGAGATTTGCACCGTGCCATTAGAAATCCTGCAGGAATTCGTAGACTTCCTCCGCGGAAAGTGTCAAGTGATATTTGCTGGAGATCCATGCCAACCTCCTCCCATTTGCGGAGAAATGCCCCATAAATGGTTAAAAGGAATGGTAGACCATGCAGAGGAAATCAATGCTGACTACCGCAGTAAGGACGAAGTAAGAGACTTAAAGGCGGCATTAAGGGGCCTCAGTGATGCCGAGCAAAACAAGACGCTGCGTAAACGCATCCGAGCGAAGTCTTACGAGGACTTCCTTACCGCGTGGCATCCAGAGGATTTGGTGTTGAGCAGTAAGCGCGCAGCACAATCGCGAATACAGAAAGATTTATTAAAAGTACACCGCGAAAGATTCCCAAGCCATTTGGTGCCCGTTTGCTACAAGCCCCACGATACCCGCATGCAGAAGAGAGACGTGTGGGTGCCGGGCACCGACGTCCAACTGCGAAACGCGGTAACTCACGATAAAGTCTGGGTGCCTATGGGAAAGGTTGAAAAAATAACCTCCCA